TCTCTCTCTCTCTCTCTCTTGAGTGGTATTTAATAGATCTACTTCAATAATTGCTTTTAAAGTCATTTTTAATTATTTATCCCCAATCCTTTTCATTTTCAAGACTCACTTCTGTTATGAAATTTTTGGTATCCATTATGAGATATCCATTTGTTTCCTAGTCAAATATTTCATTAATTCTTTGAATCATTTTCACTGTTTTAAAACAAAATTTAAATTTATATTTAAAAAAATTTAGAATTGCTTCTTTTCCATATTTAATAATAATGATAACAATTAATCATAAAGTTAACATCAAAAATAAAATTACTAGCATAATTAACAAAGTGGAATCTACATTTGAAATAGACGCAATATGAACATAATCAAACATATCTTTATTAGAGAATAAAACCTCAAAATTTAAAATAGTAAAAACCATTATTTTTGTATCAACCTAATTAAATATTAATCTAGAAGATTATTGCCATCTAGCTCTATGTTTATAATTTTATATTTTATAATAATTTGTTTCAGTATTTAAAAAATTGATATTTAAATAATAACGAATTTTCTTTTTAATACAAATATTTTCATTTATATATATAAAATGTTTGTTTTAATTAAATTCACTTTTAATTAAAATTTAGAAGGAATTTTGAAATTTTTATTGAAAAGTTGGTGATTTTGAGGTGTTTTTATGAACTTTTCTATCAATGTAGCGATATACCACAAAGAATTTAAGAAACATCTATATTATATAATAAATATTAAATTATTATACAAAGTCAAATTTAATATATTTATTGTGCAGCCAAAAATGAGCAATTGCAGCGCAAATTGCAGCTGTTAGTCAACAATTTTTGTGTGGAAAAGCTTCCAAGGAATGCGGATGTCTTTGGAGACATCTCAGGCAGAAAATTCGAGCGAATTCCAATGGACGAGCGCGAGGAGGAAGAGGAAAAATTTCAGGATACAGAAGCGCGCGTTCCACGTCGACTGAAGCCCAGCTTGGGCCAGTATGCTAAGATGATCAAGTCGTATATATCTAAAAACGATGTGAATTCTGCTTTGCAGGTCCTCGATTTGATAAAAGAGAATCGAGACAAGCCCACGATATACTTGTACAATCTCCTATTGTGTGCGTTTGCCAAACAGGGCGACGTAAAGCAATGCTTTAGTCTGTACAACAAGGCAAAGATGTATGGATTACAGCCGAACGCGGGAACCTACACTAGTCTATTCAACGCGTGTGCTTTATCTGATAAAAGCAAAGTAGCTCTGGAGCATCTCAATAGGCTGCGAAGGTTTCTTTATGATCGACAGTTTCCACTGAACAGTACACATTATAATGTCATGGTAAAGGCGTACAGTTGGCACGGTAAGATCGTTGAGGCCTTCCAGCTGGCGGACGAGATGAGAGACAGACGCATTCCTATCGGAGAGATCACTTACAACTCTCTGTTTCATGGAGCAATTTCTGACAAGGAGACTGGCCTGCGACATGCCTTAATTGTGTGGCACTTAATGCGCTTGAAAAATATCAAGCCATCTTTGACTACATATAATCTTCTCCTGAGAGCGATCAGGGATACAAATTTGGGAAATTTAAAGCCCAACGATGTTCTTCTCTCAGGATTTAACCAGACTAAGGTTTCATTGTTGGAAGGCGAGAAGCCTGATCTGCTGGCATCTCCACCTATGTTGAGCACACTTTTACCAATGGGAAAAGAACAGAGTATTATGCAACGCGATACTGATGTAGAGGTACAAAAATCGATAAATTTGAATGACGTTTTGGTCAACAATCGTCTGATTTTATTTGGTGGTCTTGAAAGATTTCTAAATCGAATGTCCAACGATGGTGTTAAACCTGATATCAAAACTATTACGTTACTCCTGAATTTAATTCCGAACACGGTGCCCGCTGAGAATCTACTCGTCAAAACTGCAGAGGAGAAAAATATTAAACTGGATATTGACTTTTTCAATATGCTCATTAAAAGGCGCAGCGTACGATTCGATTATAAAGCTGCGAAAGTAAGTATTATGGATGAATGCGGTCACTTGCACTACACTGGATCATCACATATCAAAGTATTTAAATGCAATAGCTCAGTATTAGATCAGTAAGTATGAAATGTCTAATTTTTATATATTATTATTAATACTCGTAACTTTGTTAAAATTGAACGAAATTTACATTTAAAAAAAGTTTTAAAGCTAAAAATCTCTATTTTCAAAAGACTGCTGATTTTGAGTTTAGTAATTTTTATATATAAAAAGCTATGACCAGGACATATAAAATGAACATTTTTTGTTACTTTGGGCTTATATATATATATATATATATATCATATGTTTAAAATAAATTTTTCTGACATAAACTTTCTGACATAAAAACTCTAAACTTTTCCTACAAGACAATTTTTTTTAATTATTCCTAAGATTTGTTACTCAGTTATCACGAATTAAATAAAAGAAGCATTTTTATTAAGATCAAAGATGCTACGAGCATAAAAAATTGTTAGATTGTTAGTCAATTTAACTCGTGACAGTACTGCGGTAGTTTATTAGTTTGTGTTGTAAGTCTGAAAAAAATTTCGGCGCGCATTTAAGGATCTACATATATAGTATATAAATTCACACAAAATTATATTAGAAACATCCAGCTTGACCGTAAATGGCTTATTCTCATCGGTATTTAGTCTAAAATTCTCACGGTCTAAATAAGATATTTTTATTTAGACTTTAATTATTCATAACTCCATTAAAAATCGTCATAACGTAATTAAAAAAAAAAAAACAGATTCTCAATGCTGAAATTTTACTTTATCGAATAGTATATGTGTCCATTTTTTTTTTAATATATAGATACTTCATGCTTAATGATCTAAATGATACATGGGGATAAACAAAATAATAGGAATACTTGAGAAATATATTATTAATTTTATTAATGAGAAGTTGGTCTACCATTTGTCTTTAATATAGATTCTACTTTCGACTTAGAGTTATACATATATTGTTTTGCTTGAATGGTATAACTACAATCTAGTATTACACCATTCATCTAACAGAACATCCAATTGCTTGGAAGACATTGAAGGAAGAAATCTGTTTTTCATTCTGCTCTTGAAAACTATAAACGATGATTAAATCAGATAATTATATTGGCCAGAAAAGATATTAAAGTTTTTGAGAACAGGGCAATTTTGGAAAATAGAATGAGAAGAGAAAATATCCTCCTTTAATATTGTTTATATAAGCAAATGGAAGTAGTTCTACTAAAAGAATCTAAACATTTCATTAGTAATTTGCCAATCTCTTATTAATAAAACAAGTAGTAAAATAAAATGGTGTATTTTTCAAGTGTTCAATATTATTTTGCCTGTCTCTGTATATTATGATAAATAATGTATATAAATATCCAGATTATATTAGAAATTTAATTGTTTAAAATATATACGGGGTATCTTAGAAGTATTAGAAAATATTTCGCGTGCTGATAGAGCAGACTGAGTTAAAAAGTCCTCTACCATTTTGCAATTTGCGTAATAGTTACAAGACTTAATTATTAAAAATCGCTAAATATTAGTTTCCAATAATTTTTTACTTAAGTACTATCAACTTTATAGAAAAACACAGAGACAAAAATTATTTATTTTCTTCTCATAGAACTCTAAGAATCTTTTCAGAATTTATTATCAATCTTTTAGTATTGCATTTTCTTTTCGACAAGTATTTTTCCCAACATGAAAAAATTCTCAGAATTTTTCATTCTTCATAAATTTTTCATTACTTTATAAGAATAAAATTAATAATTTTTGTTACTTATTTTTTTGTAAAGTTGATAGTACTTGAATAAAAAATTATTGAAAACCAATATTCGGTGATATTTAATAATTAATATCTTGTTAGCTATTGCGAAAAATACATGTTAGAGGATTTTTCAACTTAGTTTAATCCGCTCTACCAGCACACGAAGTATTTGATGATTATTCTTATATATATATATATATAT